AAGTCTACCATTAGTACTGTGTAGTTAACACCTTTGAGGTAGCACTCTAACGATTGCTGGGCTACTCGATAGTGTCTGAAATACGCTCACTCAGTTTCTTGATATCTCTAATAGGTCCCTGTTTTTTGGGGCATAGGGCGCACCTTCCCGTTGGAGCCTATTTTGTGGCGATAATCAGAAGGGAAGAGTTAGCAAAGAACACACTAAAAAAAACCTTTGCTGTGCTTAGAAACTTCCCGCGCGCATTGTCGCGGCCATGGAAATAAAGGCGTCTTACAACCAAGAAAAAAAAGGTTGATATTCGTTTTCTCACTGAAAATTGTCGCAGCCTTAAGATCACCACGGAGATATACAGGGAACTCACTTTCAAAGGCAAAGTCTCGCAGCGAAACCTATTCAGCGGTAGAAAATAATCAGAAAGAGAGGATGGGAGAAGTAGCGCGTTTAGCTGTGGTCAGGTGGGTGGAAGGCCGTGCGGTAGCAGCGGACGCTTTCTCGGAAACGCGGCTGGAAGGTACTGATACCCTGATGCAGTCTCAGTAGCCCCTTACGCTAGAACAGTAGGCCGTTCCAGTGCTGTAAGGCTATGGCACAGAAGCCGTTGAGCTGATGGTGAGAGGATAAAGCGTCCCATCTAGCGTAACGGAGTACTGAGACTGCATCAGGGTACCCTCCAGCTCCGTTTCAGTGCAGCTTTGACCGGAAGAAAAGGCACTCTACTGCAGACACATCCAACTTATGACAAGTACCAGGATCCACAGAGGGAGCTACGGGCTGTTTTCGTAAGGAAGTTCACACGCACGCACCAATGAGTAACCTTGCCTACGCTCAGCACCTTTGTCTGAGCGAAAAGTGTGAACTAACGTTTCCATTGATTCCTTCACATAGGCGACGAATACGACCACCTTCCCGAACAGTGGTGGGCATTCGCCCATGTCCTTTCGTGGTGGATAGGGTGTTCGTAGACTGAAATGGTATTCACTCTAATAAGTGAAATGAGGCTCTCAAGTGGATGATCTGGAGAAGCCACTCACTTAGTAGTTGTTAGTGGAGTCTTACTCAAATGTCGCTCTTCGTAACGTCTTATAGCCTGAAAATAACAAAATCAATATAT